TACGAAAGACTGATTTAAGACATTTTAATACCAATTAAGGCCTTAGTTTTATTTTGAAGAATTCAATGCCTTTTAAGACTTTTTAAGGCCGAAACAGGCTCTACCCAAATACCTCTAATCAGTAAAGACACATAACCAACGGTGGAAGTGTGTCCAGGTTCCTGCATTGGTGCAGGAAGCTGCACCAATGCAGGAACCTGGACACAGTTAGCGTAAGGACTCCCTGACATCCCTTGCCACTGCTAGGAGTTTTATTGTTGCCCACAATCCTTTGCATAACAGAGCACAGGCACATCCCACCTCATGGGGTTTAACAAAACAATAAATCGTGCAATCGGTGAGACACTTGCTTATGTGCACACATAGCTCTGGCTTTTATAATGGAGAGCTTCAGCCGTCCTCAAAATTTCTGTAAATTCTGTTTGTGTAAAGGCTGGAGTGCCAATTTTACAAGCATCATTAATGCATGTGTCTACCGAGTATTGAGTTCAGTAAGGCTGAATGTTGTCCAGATTCGGCACAGCAGTCCGTTTCTACTCCTTTTCTACTTTGGGCCCTGCTAAAGATGAAGAGATAGGAACTAGGAACAGGAGGTAGGAGCTAAAATTTGAGTTTTTCGGTTCAAACCCCTGTCTGCAGATGTGACTCTGCAGATCAAGTCTTGTGTAGTGGGTGACAGGTTTCTACTTTAAAATACCAGGCTAGTTAAGCTGTTCATATATTTTTATTTTCTGTTATTTCTTTAGTGGAAGTCCATTTCCTTGGCTGTGACTAGTTGTAACAAACTAACTTAAGGACACTGAGACTGCCATAGAAGGGCTTTCTGATATTATGGTTCCTATGAAAGAAAAAGAAAAAAAAAATTACAGCAATTATTTTAAAAAATACCTTAACTTTACGGTCAAGTTAAGGTATTTTTAAAATAACTTAACAGGAAGGGATAGGTTGGAAGATTCTAAGGGCCCTTGACTGAGGGGGGCCCCAAAAGAAGAAGAAAAGATATGTCCTGCTACACATTTCAAATTTAAAAAGATTCAGCAGAAAAATTTCAAATATAAAAAGCAAATCAAGCAGTTTGTCATGATGGGTCTAATGTGTTTGACCCACATGCAGAAGCACTCACAGATACGGGAAAAAGTTTACCAGTTTATTGAAGGGTTTCTGTACAGAGAATAGGAGAAAACTGTTCGTCAGCTTGGGGAGGTTCCTGCGATCAGGTGAACCGGAAGCTCTAGGAGGAGTTCAGAGTGTTGAGTTCAGTGTCTGAATACTAGGTAACTTAGACTCACTGTGGTTGTTAGTGAGGGTTTCTGAGTTCCTGTTTGTAGAGGTTTGGTCTGTAGAAGGTTTAGTTTGTTGGAGGGTGGACTGGCAGACTATGAAGATCTTGAGGAGCAGCTGAGCAGACTGACACTTGGTTCCTGAAGTGCTTGCCGTTCAGATGAGGAGATCTGTCTCCTATTCTCAGTGTGACAAGTGTGTCCCTTCCAAGACCTGAAGGACCTGGTTATACAGTGGATCTGGGAAATCCTGCCGTAGAATCAAAGACAAAAACTTGGTTTGCGCTGAAAGAGCTCAGAAGAAACTTGGACTCAAAATAGACTCTGCAAACTCGGAGGGGCTAGAGTACCCAATACTGACAAACACTCTAGTGAGGAAGTGAAGACAGTCTGCTCATTTAATACTCCTCAGTAAGTGATGACCCAATAGGCTGCAGGTGTGAGGTGAGAAGAACAGGAAAGCCTCCAGGCTAGGAGAGGACAATGGCACCATCTGGTGGGTTGCACAGTGGAACTGCAAAAGAATATAACAAGCCCCACAAACTGGAACCCTAACACAGTTAAAAAATGTATCTTTGTGTTCGACC